ATACTTCACTATAACACGGTCTAGTGTGTTAATACTTCACTATAACACTGTCTAGTGAGTTAATACCTCACTATAACACGGTCTAGTGTGTTAATACTTCACTATAACACTGTCTAGTGAGTTACTACTTCACTATAACACGGTCTAGTGTGTTAATACTTCACTATAACACTGTCTAGTGAGTTAATACTTCACTATAACACGGTCTAGTGTGTTAATACTTCACTATAACACTGTCTAGTGAGTTAATACTACTTCACTATAACACGGTCTATGTGTTAATACTTCACTATAACACTGTCTAGTGAGTTAATACTTCACTATAACACGGTCTAATGTGTTAATACTTCACTATAATACGGTCTAGTGAGTTAATACTTCACTATAACACAGTCTAATGAGTTAATACTTCGTGTAAATATCAGTTCACAGGCGATTTAACAAAAAATTATCCCTTTGCAACAGCCTGTCAACAACATTTCAGTCTAGTATCACAATCAATAGGGGAAAATGCTACATGGAAACTCCCCCACTCGTTATCCCGTCTCAAGAACTCTCAGGGTTCAATTTTCAATTTCAATTGTTTATTCCTTGATAGAGGAAGCGGGATCCTAGTGCTGTCACTAGGTACCCCTGTGGGTTTTATGACAAATGATCTACTATGGTCATTATGATGGTATTTGTCTAAGTTATTTCTTCATATTTCTGGGTTAATATTTGTCAGACTTTGAGAGATTTAAGTGAGTACTTATCCTGTCTTTACTTTGAGTCATATTGTTCAGAGGTGAGATGGATATAATTTAACTCTCTCTCCCTCTCTCAGTAAACACCTTCCCAGCTATGCAGCCTTGTACACTTCACACAAGGTTTTTCACCATATTGCCAACATATATAAGTTGGTGAATATATAATTATGAACTGTTATATAGATGTCTTCAAAGGTATATAGATGTCTTTTAACTCGAATGGACCAGGCGCTATCGTTGCCCATACTGTAACTATATTTAATGGCCATCGACTTAACTGTGTATGTGCATACCTTGGCAAATGGTCTAATTTCGTACAGTACCTTTATTTATCCACAGGTAGACTAAAGATACCACTCCCTGTTACGTGTGTAGAGTCAGTAAAACATGTGGAGCAGAAAAAGTCACTAACTTCGGACTCCGAACGGAAACGAACCCAGTGTATCGTATCCCTAATATACTTTAATTTATTGGTGCTTCGGTTGGCCCAGCTGACACCCCTCCCCCCCCACCCTCTCTCTCCCTCCTTCTCTCCGCCGATGCTTAATAGGGCGAATGGGAATTTGATTGTAAATGATTGAGAAAAGACGTATTCGTTTCTATAGCGCGCGGTGCCCTGGGGGTGACACCTGCCCCTCAAACTGAGACCCGGGCTCAAACCTTGATGCCGGGGATAAAGTATGATTTATATACTATCTTATCTATCAAATTGAAACAAGTTGAGACACAATATTCTCCAGCTGCTGGTTGACTACACCGCCACAAGCATTCTAGAGAGAGGGAGAGAGTTTTGGGGGGCTTTTTTCTCCTCGTATCCTGATCTCTACAGCCAAGCTTCCCACATAACGACGTGGTCAACCGAGATATTTTATTATATTACCCACAGCCTGGTTGAAGACCCCTATGTCTCAATACCGTAAATTCTGATTGTACTTAAGGCAGCTGTGTTTAATGGCTGGAGTTACTTTAAATGTTTTACCGAGTTGTTTGTCTCGCGCTGTGGTTAAAATGACAGCTCAGTAGTCCTTCACAACATATACTCAGAAGGCCTGCAGAGATGATTAATATCCGCTGTGGGATACTGCCAGAGATATAACATCCCGTGACTTACACAACATTTGTGTTGACAGTCACCGTTCCTTAAGGAAGGTGTGCACCTTAAACTTATGTACAGTACCATACAGTACAGTACAGTTCAGTACAGAAACAATACAGTACTCCATTATTTTCTACACTAATGTCCGCTGTGACATGGATTTGCAGGCAGTACTGTACAGTAGGTTACAAAATGAATCCCGGAGTCCTAACAAGTGATGTGTTCTTTACAACGTCGCTAACACGGACGTGGTGAATACAGTTACATTTAGAAAATAATGGAGTACTGTATATACCCATGTTTCGGGTGTGTGCCGTGTTAGAGGGTCTCAACACAAAAGCACAAAGGAACTTTATAAATTTTACAAAGAAAATGATGTAAAAATTTATGACCAGAAACTTGTGTACATATCGGCGTATACAAGTAGCAACATGGCCGGCCACCTCGAGGAAGCATCAACTAAAGTTACTGTACTCAAACGTTGACAGCCAGGTTTTGGGGATAGGCACGAGACTGAAATCAACTTAGAGTAAAGTAAAGTACAGTACTCAGACAAGTTAAATTATCGAGCCAAGTGCTGGGTTAATCTACAAGATGAACCCCGCCAGCGGGTGCACTCAGCAGGCATCTTGACAAAGTCCTTCAGAGTGTACTTGGCCAGCTGAGTGAAGTGGAAATTCACGACTACGAGCCATGAGCGTCAACAGGCTGCTGGTGGATGACGTTAACGGTAATGGTTGACTCGGGCCAGACAAGCCAACATTACTGAAAACCTCTCTCACACACACCCTAATGCTAACCTAACTTAGACTAACCTAACCTAACTCAACTTAATCTAATCTACCCTAACCTAACCTGACCTGGCTTAACCTAACCTAACAAACTAAACTAACCTAACTCAACATAATCTAAGCTAACCTTACCTAACTTAAGCTAACCTAACTCAAGCTAACCTAACTTAATATAATTTAACCGAAACTAAGCTACCTTACCCTAACCCCCCCTCCCCCCCATCAAGGTTGCGTCAGGGTGCTTAATCTTCAGGTGATATGACAAAAGTTTCAGTGTTTATAAGATTCAATTAAAACTGTTGAGGACATTCAGCCACTAACAGTATTAGGTTGTACTTGTATCTACGTAAATGACTGATCTTCCACAGCCTTTGTCACTGTGATGTATATACATGACGCTGCTGCTCACGTCCACGGGGAGGGTGACCTGACGCCACCACCAGAAATTTGAATCTAGGAAAAAAAACACGGGAAAAAAATGTCACATTCACCTAACTTAACAACCTTACCTAACGTCCTAACCTAACCATATCTAACATAGCTACATATAACCTAACCATATCTAACATAGCTACATATAACCTAACCATATCTAACATAGCTACATATAACCTAACCATATCTAACCTAGCCACATCTAACCTAACCTAAATTATGACTGTAACTTATTTTTTTCCCAGTCACCGGAGACATTAGTCACTTACCATCAGCAATATTATTAGTTCATTAGCACACAGAAGCAACGCTACGAATATCTTCATTAACTCTACTTTTGTCTTTATGTACAGTATGTAAACAAGTTAGTTCAGTGGCATATTCAGAGAAAATAAAATAAATGAATGAATGGAGGAATTACGAGACGAGTGAAAGGGGCAGCAGAAAGAATGTTTGATGGACCCTGTGTGTGTGTGTGTGTGGAGCGTCAGGTACAGTGGATCACAACACGAAGTTTAAGTAAGGCAACACGACGTAACATAACACGACGTAAATAAGGCAACACGACGTAACATAACACGACGCAAATGAGGCTACACGACGTAACATAACACGACGTAAATGAGGCTACACGACGTAACATAACACGACGTAAATAAGGCTACACGACGTAACATAACACGACATAAATAAGGCAACACGACGTAACATAACACGACGTAACATACTACGACGTAAAGAAGGCTACACGACGTAACATAACACGACGTAAATGAGGCTACACGACGTAACATAACACGACGCAAGTAAGGCAACACGACGTAACATAACACGACGCAAATAAGGCAACACGACGTAACATAACACGACGTAAATAAGGCTACACGACGTAACATAACACGACATAAATAAGGCAACACGACGTAACATAACTAACGACGTAAAGAAGGCAACACGACGTAACACAACAAGGTTCTATAACTAACTGTAAATATAAGAACGAATATTACTGGTTAACTTAAGCTAAAACGCAGAAAAAAAAATCCCCAAAACATCATCAAAACATCACCTAGATTCTACCTTAACTAAACATGTTCACTTAGTACCATGCAATTAGTTCCATTTTCAATTTTAATTGTTTATTCCTTGATAGAGGAAGCGGGATCCTAGTGCTGTCACTAGGTACCCCTGTTGATGAAATTAAGTTAGAGTAATTTTTTTTTTTATCAGGAGACTCTGTACTCTAAGACCGTCTCAATGTTTGCACTTTAGCCTGAAATTCAACTAGTTATAGGTGCGTTATGGTCCCAGGCTCTGTCAGTCCTCGAAAGGCAGCGGTGAGATGAGGACTCGGGATAACCCCTCAACGTGGAGTTATGACTAATTGACTAAATCTGGACGACCTCAAGACACTACAACAGTTCTACGATTTACTTTCTGCTGGGACGGTTTTCTTTGGGTAAAATATGAAGTATCGATATTAAATTCACAAATATGAATAAAATACATGTAAGTAAATATCCTTATATGTATTACACCTACATACAGTATTTAAATTTAATCTTATACATATACATACACACCGGTATCATGAACACGTGTTGGCTATACTGTATACGCGCACGCACGTACGTACACAATGAGGTTCACACTCATATTTCACCATCCGTAACGAACATGTGTATTTATAACACTTACACGTCTAAAGGTTCACACACACACCCTTCACCTACACCTCCACCAATATATTCTTCACTGCATATTGTACAGTACACCCTTACCCTTACTTTCACATCCCAGCCCTTTATACCCCGCAACCCACTCACACAAATACTAAAATCCTCCAACCATGCAGATTGTCCACGTATCACCTGCAGTGACACACACACACACACACATGTACCCAGTACCCCCCCCCCCTGCTAGACCTACCTGTGAGGTGTGAAGGGGTGGCGGAGGGTTGTGGTGGGCGCCGCCGCCCGCCTGCTGGTTGTGGTGGTCGGCCAGGGTGAGATACACCCAATTCAGCAGCTGTGCCGGGGCCGCCCCTCCTGGTAGTCCCCCGCCGCCGCCCGCCCCTCCGCCTACGTTGGCCTCCAGCCCGCCCATCATGGAGGCCGCCGTGGAGGCGCCGCCCCCGCCGCCCATGGCGGTCCAGGCTTCAGGGGGCGCTGGCACCATCACGCTGTTGGCGGGCCCTCACTGGGGGCCCTTACTGATGGACCCTCACTGTCACCCTTAATGATAGGCCGTTCTTGGTGGAGCCTCACAGGTGGACCTGCCTGGCGGCAGTGTGTGGTGAGGGTGGCTTCTGAAGGTGGTGGTGCACTACACTGCTACACTACACTGAAGCACAACACTGAGGGGAGGTGGTGTGAGGGAGGACAGAGGCAGCGTTGAGGTAGTGCTGGGTGGCTGGTGGCCTCGTCACCGCCGCACGCCCACCATCACACTGCCCACACACACACACACAACACTGTATTCACTACTTCCTTCCTACTTTAGAGTTTCAGTGGTTCACGTGGTGGTGACAGAGGGCGGCCATGACGCTTCCTGTGTGTGCGTGGTGGCACCGCCAGATCTCCGCCGCCCACCACCGTCTTACAGGGAAAAACTACCACGAAGACGCTACGGCTGCATCTTAGGCAGCCACTGTACTAGAGGGCGCGGGGTACAAGGTGCCAGGGCGGCGGCTGTGTCTCGAATGCCCGGGCATCTGGCACTGACACCCCCCAACCCCCAGTTTTGGCCTCCCCTCACTCCCCCCTTACCCCAGCTCCCGACATACCAAGCGCCAACCATCTCGCCCACTCACGCATTATGCCCAAGGCTTTTCTGTCTCTCCCTCATATTCCCACATCATATAACTTATTCCTAAATAATTATATTGGCAAATGCTTCAACATGCGCGACTAACAGCTGATATGTGTTTGTGTAGTGAACTTGTCAGAGAAGGTCGTGTTAATAGGGAGGCTGGTGCGGTCCAAGACGGCGCGTATTTTATTACAACGCCTCCCCTCAGTCAAGACGCCACCGCGTCAGAACACACCAATACTCTCCCTTTGTCGCAACGCTCACAACATTTTTCTGCACAGAAGTATTTATTATCACGATATTTGATGAGATAAATCTGTGGCACAAAGACAACATAGTTATCTAACCAAATGATAAGGTATTTCGATACATTGCCTCGAGATGGGACGGAGGAAGGAAATTGCCGAGTATTAGCTGGTTTCTGTGGCGGGAGAGAGAGGGCGGTTGTTCTCCGGGCAGGAAGGCGGTCGACCCACCACCCTCTTACCACCACCATATAACTTATACAATTTTGCACTTACATCATACAGTCTTATTTATTATTGCATCACACTATACATTATATTCCCGCCTGTCGTGATAACACATTTACAAGAAGGATCTACGCCTTAAAACCGCCACTACTATACTTTTGGCACACACCGCACCATCATGTATGTTTACGTAAACACACACACACACACACACACACACACACACACAACAGATCTCTGTTGGTGCCATTATATTACACGAGACAGAAGGAAGTCAGTCAGTTACAGGTCCGACATAACGTAAGTACATTTAATACCCATAAAATCACTGACTACATTCTGTTCGCCTTATGAGGATATTTATGGTGTGGTGGCGCTGGTATTATGTCTCCTGGCGGTTGTCTTATGATGTGTAATGCCTCCAGTCTGAGGGTATATATTGGCGCTAATCTTATGATCATTAGTGGCGTTGGTCATATGGTTTACAGTGGTAGGAAGAGCCATATGGACAAACAGCAAACAAGTAAACCTCCACCCACCCTCTTCCTCCAACCCTGACCCTCCTACCTCCACCCTTACTCTCCCTACCTCCACCTTCACCCTCCCTACCTCCACCCTCACCCTCCCTACTCCACCTTCACCTTCTCTTCCCCTTCTTCATCTTCCCTACCCCTCCTTCACCCTCCCTACCTCCATCCCCACTCTCCCTACCCCACCTTCACCTTCATTACATCTACCCGCACCCTCCCTACCCCACCTTCACCTTCTCTACCCCTTCGTCAGCTTCCCTATCCCACCTTCACCCTCCCTCCACCCCCCACCTCCCTACCCCACCCCACCCCCACTCTCCCTACCTCCACCCTCACCCTCCCTACCTCCACCCTCCCTACCTCATGTTCACCCTGACCCCTCACAACACCCACCTACAGGAGGTAGTGGAGAAGGTTCACACAACCTGACACACACACACAGTATGTAAACACAAACAGTCCCTCGCTTCTACACTCCCTTGTACTCTCACTTGTTGTTGTCATACTTGTACTCACCCCACTTATATTGTACTAATTGTACTTCACTTGTTTCCTCACTAGTACTTTGAGCGTTTATACACATTTGTTTTCTTGTTTGGAGTTGCATAACCATTTCAAGTGTATATGTGTAATTATAAATGCACTCGTACTAAAAAATTCTCACATTATGTATTTACACTTGTACTCGTGCTCATTCACTTGAGGTCACATCTAGTATAACTGACTCTCACTGGTTCTTTTACCAGTTAGTACTTCTCACACACTCACAATTTACCCCCACTAGAGGTGGCCATGCCGAGAGAAGGCCAGGCCAGTGGCCTATATATAAAGAGGATCCCTTAATTGTTCTTGATAATTTTGTCAAGGGCAGTTTTAAAGACCAGTACTGTTCTTCATTCTATAGCTTGGGCTGATAGACCGTTCCATAGGTCTACCAGCCTTTGTGTGAAGAACTGTTTCCTTATGTTCGTTCTGCACGATAACTTGGCGAGCTTGTAGTTATCGTCTCTCGTGTTGGTGGTGCTTGACATCACAAAGAAATGTTCAGGTTCACGTTTTTCATCCCTTTCAGGATTTTGAATGTTTCAATGAGATCTGCCCTATTGTGCCTTATCTGAAGGGCTGATAGTCCTAAGGCCCCCATTCTGCATGGATAATCAAGATGACATAGTTTCGGAATCATCTTAGTCACTCCGTGTTGCACCTTTTCTAGGGATGCTAGATATTTCTGAAGGTAGGGTTTCCATGCCTGTACACAGTAATCCAGACTGGGACGTATTTGCGATTTGTACAGTTGAAAAATTTTTTTCCTATCACTGTGTTCAAAGGTACGTTTTATAATTTTTAAATCTCGATTTGCTTTTCTCACTGCTGTCCCCACTTGTTGCTCCGCCTTCAATGACTGATCTATCACAACGCCAAGATCTTTCTCCTTATCGACAGTGTCCAGGAAAGTGTTATTAGCAGAATAGTTGTACCTAGGGTTTCAATGTCCTACGTGTAAAGTCTTGCATTTTGTAATGTTAAAGATCATTTTTGCTAGTCTTGGGACCATTTGAACAGCTTATTCACGTCTTCCTGCATTGTTGCGATCTCGTCTTGACTGGCTCAATATATTTTCATCTACAGTATGTCGTTCATGTAGATCACAAACAGGGTGGGTCCAAGGATAGAGTCTTGTGGTACAGTACTCCACTGAAAACCTTTTTCTATTCAGAATGTACTCTATTAATTACCACTCTTTGTCGCCTGTCTTCAAGTCATTTGTTAATCCACATCAAAATTTTGCCTGTGATGTCATGTGCCTAGATCTTAGAGGCTAATCGTGCATGTGAGACTTTGTCAAACGCCTTGGAGAAATCCATGTACACCCACTAAAAAATTAATCGGCACCCTTGTCATATTGTATCACGCCGTAAGGGTGCCGAATAATTTTTTAGTGGGTGTACATGTATGTATCGTGCATGTATACGTGTGTGTGTGTACACGTATCATGTACACTCACTAACAAATTATTCGGCACCCTTACGGCGTGATACAATATGACACGGGTGCCGAGCAATTATTTAGTGGGTGTACAACACATCTACTGGTGAGCCTTGGTCCACATATTCTGTAACAGTTTCAAGGAACGTGAGTAAGATTGCCAGACAGGATTTCCTTTCCATAAAACCGTGTTGTGATGCGTTGATAAGACTGTGTTCGGTCAGGTGTTGGACGATGACGTCCATCATAATTTTCTCAGAGCTTGTATATGTGATGTTAGGCTGATCGGTGTGGAGTTTTCCGCTGCCCTTTCCCTACCATTCTTGTATACTGGGTAACGTTGGCTAATTTCCAGTACCTAGGCGCTGCACCTTGATCTAAAGATTTCCAGAATAAAAGTCTTGGGTTGGGTGCAAATCTTGTTTGCCACCTCCTTTATCACCTTGGTCTGTGCTCCGTCCACTCCAGGGGTTTTGAATTCTAATATTTTTCACTTTTTCGCATCTTTATGACCTTTAAGTAATGCGGCTCTAACAAAACACAGTACATATCTTAGGTACTTGTAGGAAAACATGTTAAGACGTTATATCAGGGATTTCCAACACACACACACACACACACACAAGGGCACCTCATACAAGGTTATCAGAGGACCTCAGTATTCGTGTATCGATACCACTGTAATATGTGTCTACTGGCCAGCACAACACAAACTGAACTAACTGGAATCTACTTAGCCACAGACTACCTCAAAGAAAATGGAGGTGGGGTGATATTCTGTGACTCTCAAAGTGCTTTGAAATCAATGAACAGCCCGTCAGGCTCTATGTCTAAAGTTGTATGTGATATTAAAAGGAATGTGATAACTGCCAATGAGAACAACTTTCGTATCGAATTTGTGTGGATTCCGTCCCATGTTGGAATCAGGTATCATGACCGTGCTGATAGACTGGCCAATGAGGCATGTAAGAAAGAAAATGTTGACCGTGACCTTGGCCTGTCCAATGCCGTAATTAAAAACATTCAAGTCAGAATCATGAACTCTGATCTAGAAGAAGTGAGAAATGCAGAGAGACCTGACAGTTGTAGCATTAGTAAATATGACAAATTTTGTGACAAGAGGTACCGGTATGGTCAGCATAAGGACAGAACCAGACAATGTGATGTAGTCGTGGCCAGAATTAGGCTAGAATACAAACACATCTGGCAAGTTAGTAACGCTGTACCCATACCGGCCCACTCAGCATGTAAACTTTGTGATAAACTCCTAAAGCATACACTTGAACACTATATTATTGAATGTGACACCGTCAAAGATTTCAGGCCACCTGACTTATTGTATCTTGAACTATGAAATTACTTCATTGAATCAGGTGTGCTTGAGGACAGTCTTGCTGTTTATCCCAAATTTGCTAGCCCACACTGATTAGTCTTCAATTAGAATATGACTCCAATGTATGTGATCCACTGACCTATATATACTGCTAATGAATATGATGTATTTCCTTCTTTGTGTACGAACCTCTGTCCTGCATGGCAGTGAACAGTGGCATTACTCACATAAATCTGACCTATATATAGTGTCAATGAATATGATGCATTCTTTGTGTACGAACCTCTGTCCTGTATGGCAGTGAAGAGTGACATTACCCACATGAATCTGACCGACGTATATGTATGTATGTGTGTATATGTGTATGTATGTGTGTATATGTGCATATGTGTATATATATGTACATGTATATGTGTATGTATATGTGTATATGTATGCATATGTGTATGTGTGTGTATACATAAATGTATATGTACTGTCAATGAATATGATGCATCTCTTTGTGTACGAACCTCTGTCCTGCATGGCAGTGAACAGTGACATTACTCATATGAATCTGACCTCTGTACATTTATAGCTGTTAATGAATATGAT